GATGCTAGCACCAATCCAACTAAGCAGGGCAGATCAAATGTCTATGATGATGGAACAGATGCGTCAAATGCAAGACAAGATCAACGGATTGCCTAGAGTGCCCCTGTCCTTGGACAGAGCGTCATGGACGTGTTATGCAGATTAATTCCCCCTTTAGCAGACAGATCACCGACGTGGAAATACCTAGAAAGTTTGCTGGTCCATCAATAAAAACGTTTGACGGTACGTCTGATCTGGGGGAACATGTCGCCCAGTACAAACAACACATGTTGGCTGTATCACTTCGTCCAGACCAAAGGGATCGGAGGCATGCATGTGCAGAAGATTTGGACCGACACTTTCAGGACCGGCCCTTACCTGGTTCGTCAACTTGCCAAATGAGGCGATCAATTCATTTGCAGAGCTCGTCGACTTGTTTAACCAGCAATTCGCAAGTAGTCGCGTTCTGGAGAAACAAACAAGTGATCTATACAAAGTTGCTCAGCGACGAGGCAAATCATTGAGGGACTATCTTCATCGTTTCAATAAAGAAAAAGTGTTGATTCCAAGGTGTGACATACCAACAGTAGTGGAGGCATTCCAAAGAGGTTTGCTTGACAATTCAGAGCTGTATCGCGAACTGACGAAATACCCTTGTCGATTCTTCGAAGATGTCCAAGCAAAGGCGTTGGCTTTTATCCGTCTGGAAGAAGACTTACGATCCCGTCGCGGACAATTTGAGTATGACGGGGAGCACGGGAAATCAGAATCTCCTATGAGGCATGATTAGAAGTCTGGAAAACCTTATTCAAGACTTGAGGAACGAGTCGTCACACCATGACGAGATGGACTTGACAAGATGGTTGAAATCTTGGACGGGGGGCATGTTGTCTGATGGTAAATAGGCTCTAAGGAGATGCAATACGGTACCATTAAAGTTGTTTCATTTTTGGTTTATTACTTTCTTTTACAATTTGGCATCACTTTCGTGACGAGTCATTTACGTGATGAATCATTTCTGTGACGAATCACTTCCGTGACGAATCACTTCTGTGACGAGTCACTCCCATGACGAATCATTTCTGTGACGAGTCACTCCCATGACGAATCACTTCTGTGACAAGTCACCTCCACGATGAGTCATTTACTCGACGAGCCTCTTCCGCAACGAGTCACTTCGGTGACAAGACGATTGAAATCGTCGGACAGGGGGCATATCGCCTGGTGATGGGCATGTTCTGATTATAGATGCGTAGTATTTGTGTAGTTTTGTATGCAAATACTTAATTCATTATTTTTATTTACATATGAACGATCACTAACTTAAGCGTCGGAGGGCCGTTGGCTTAAGGCCATTGACCGATCCTAACAACGTTTGAATACAGGAAAGTAAACGAGACGTCGACTTAAAGGACGTACCATCAGCAGGTTACAATATCAATCTGAAAGTAAAAGAGACGTCGATTCAACTTGACATGCTAGGTATGAAATATATACAAATTTTTCCTAAACATTGATTAGCCACCTTTTACTGACTTAACCATCGGAGGGTCGTTGGCCCAAAGCCAACGGCCAACCTGACGGTTTGTGACGAGTGCAGGGCAATCTTGAAGCGTAAGTTCTGAAAACTATTGAAACGACCTACAAAGGTTAAGAGACGTCATTCAGGCTCACATCAGCCAAGCAACCTACTTAAACATCAAAATGGGAAAGGTTGGGCTGCCCTTGAGAGCATCATGGATTACAGTCCCAACAGATCCCTACATGTTTTGGCCAGAACTCACACACATATATGACAATACACGTACAACAAACACTACATAACTACACAACAGAAGCGCATGCTCCAACATAAGGAGATAATACAAACGACAAACGTAACGTTATTTAAAGTTTTTGCAGGATATGAACCAAGTTCACTCAACCCACTCGTCATCTTCCACGGCAAGTGATGTTCCCTTTGCCAGCTGAAATGTCGACATCAATATGAAAGATGTTGCAAATTTCTGTCATCTAGTCGTCAATGCAATTTTGGATAGGAGAAGATAAAATGCTATCTTTCCGTCTTCGTTGTTTTAGTCAAAGAGACGGTTACAATCAAAAACTACTTGCAAGGAAAGTGACAAGTTGACGGAAGCGCCTTATTTGACAGGTTGACGAAAGCGTCTCGCCAGACAAGTGACATGTTGATAGAAGCGTCTCCTCAAATAAATGACGAGTTGACGGAAGGGTCCTGTCATGCGAGTGACGGGTTGACGATGTGTCGTGTCAAATTGATGATGAGTCTATAAGAGCAATGATCCAGGATGACAAATATATGTGTTTTCAAGATTTCGAAAAGTTGATGCTTAACGGTTGACATGTGCACTTGTACGCCTCAACTTCTCGAAAGGGGGCAATTGTTGGGCCCTAGAAATATCGGAAGCAGCCCGGTCCAATCGTGGTGAGTAATTAGAAATGAAGCCCAAAGAAAGAGAGAAAGCCCAACCCAACAAAGCATGGATGAAGAAGACAAGTTTTGGTTCACACAATTCTAGAAGCATGCACATATGGAAAGCAACACATACACGTATGTTGACCAAGGCTGCATATAAGGGGAATTAAATATAGCTGTAGGTCATTAATGGTGTATAATTTTATTCCTTTCATGAATATTCTTTCCATGTGGCTTAATTGGAAAGTAGCATATGGACATGGTATAAATCTATACATCTTGTAAGATTGAGAGGAGGAGGGGAGAGCTCTTACTACCCTTGTAATCACAATTCAATATTACAATAATATTTGTAATCCTAATTCTTGATTCTTAGAAAATATTCTTGTACGAAACCCCCAAATCTTTATTTTAATTGTTTGATTAGATTATCAATTTCTTGCTTAAGGGGAATTAATGTACTCCCTCGACGGATCCACCTGCAACATCAACATTGACCAAGGCTGCATATAAAGGGAATTAATGTACTCATATAACTGTAGGTCATTAATGGTGTATAATTTTATTCCTTTCATGAATATTCTTTCCATGTGGCTTGATTGGAAAGTAGCATACGAACATGGTATAAATTTATACATCTTGTGTAAGATTGAGAGGAGAAGGGGAGAGCTCTTACTACCCTTGTATTAACAATTCAATATTACAATAGTATTCGTAATCCTAATTCTTGATTCTTAGAGTATATTCTTGTACGAAACCCTCAATCTTTATTTTAATTGTTTGATTAGATTATCAATTTCTTGCTTAAACATGGATCATGTCTTTGTTGTCTACGTGTAAATCATACGTAGTATTGGAGTACAGTTGGAAGTTGTATTTCTTGGAAGTTGTACTTGCCACTAAAAACATCATTTCTTCGTTGAACAGGTTTTATTTTTTTATAATAGTAGTAGTGCTCAATTTTATTTGTCCCCTTGTCACTATTGATTTTTTAGCAAATGAAATGTACTTTAAATGTAACATTTATTGGCTTCTAATTCAATTTGTGGGGTGTATCAACAACTAAGCACGAAGTAAAATTAAAGTTTAAGTTTCACTTGAGTTGTAAATGGCTTTACTCAAGTAATCTAGACAGGGGAAATTTGAAGTGGACTATAAAGGATGTATTTTATTAAGAAAATACTTTCAACTTTTAAATTGAAAAAGTTAGCATCAGCGTTTACAAATAGATATATATACTTAAAATAAATGCATTAGAGTTAAAAATTCGAAAATAAATTGTTGTTACTCTTTCTATTGCAGAAAAAACACTTTTAAATCAAAAGTATTACGAAATACTATTCAAAATCATTATTCTTGAGTACACAGTAATAATCGAGAATTTAAATTTGTATCCCATCATAATATTTTGATGGCAATGCTTTTAGACTTTGTATATGTATAATTAAATAATTATCGATGATTTTCATGACGTGAAATAAATAAGTTATGAATATCAATTGACGTGCTAATCTAGATAACGTGCTATATTGTGTTAGTGTTTGTACTTTATCTTGGTCCCCCTCTTTCCAATCCCGGCTTCGCCCCCGACTACAAGTAGTGTGTAATGATTTTAACCTCTACTTAAACCTTTTATTTCCGTTGTATCCAAAAAGTCTACTTAAAACTTGAAGTCAAAGCATCTATGGCCCATCTTCAACTCTTACCGGATGCATGCGGTCAACTGTCCCAGACCGGCCAATTTTTTTTGGTGACAACTCCGGTACCCATTAAAAAAATGGGGTACCGTACCTATCATGCATTTGATTGGTCCAAATCATTATATCACTTTTAATTTAGATTTAAATAATTCAACTGCATCATTCTGATTGATCTATATAGACAAAGGTATGGTACTTTATGGGTACCATAGAATCTACCATTTTTTTAGCTTGAAACCGGGTGAAAAAACTACAACGGGTCAAGACCGGACCAACCTAGATCCACTCATCCACCCCTACTTACACGTATGACCATAGTTCCTCTTCGGTAGAAAGTTCTATCGGGGTAGAAATAATTTCCCCTCTTCAAGAGAAGATTCCTGCAAAAAACTTCACGTTCAGTAAACCACTCCCTTAATTACGCGAATGCGTGATTAACTGAAATCAAATTGATGCTTTTCTTCTTTTAATTCAGCAATTTTTAATTACTCATTTGTGGTACAGCTATATTTCAATACTGACTTATTTAAAATTGATTCTATTTATAGATAAGTGGCTTTATGTACACTTGTAGATTTCTATGACTTGTATGTTGTGAAATTAGGAAAGGCTATGAAGCATAAATTAGAGTTTTAATTATACACATAATTTAAAATTTTCTTTTGTTCTGATTAGAATAGTTGAATAGGAACAACACATATTTGCATACAACAACCGAATCAAACACAAAAGAAAATATGATTTGATTGGTAAACAAATACAAATACTACAATTTATATGAGTAAAAATGTTCATTCACTTTGATTCGCTTATAATCCCACCCCGACCGGCGACAGTTGCCAAAGCCCATTACTGGAAATAATTTTCCAAATAAATTACTAAAAAAACGCACAAATCCACCGCCATCACCAACCAAAAAAAAAAAGAAATATTAAAAAAAAAAACAAAAAAACCACCTAAAAGTTACAGAGAAACTCAAAAGTCTCTAGAATTTACCACTACCGCTTATAGTGACATGTAGAATGGTCGCAGTATGTTAATGGCAATGTCACTGTTAGACATTAAGTGACATTAAAATTAAGGGCATTGACATGTATAGTCATTGTTTAATTTTTTTAAGCAATATTTAGCTTTAGTACAAATGTACGATCGTTCCCTCTCACAAACTCTCACTCTCAACACGGAGAAATGGATTGCCAGCTTTAGCTCAACTGCAAGGTAAAATGATCTCACATTGCTGCAGCTGAATTTGCAATCCTACTTGCAACAAGCATGGGAATGTATACGAAAAAACCTACAGCAGATATTACTTATAAGATAGTCATCTCGGTGCCAAATAATGACGGGGCCACTGGCCTATAAACCCGAGGGGCTAACAAAATATCTAATGCAGATATAATGCACCCATGTTGCATCTATCCTAACAAAATATTGTTGGACTAATGTAGTTTAACTTTCTTGAAGAAAATGCTCACCCCTAGTATTAGCACACGAACAGCATCATCTTGGAACTTCTGTGCATGTGCTTTTAATCAATGTTGGATATGAGGAGGAGTCAACTGGTTTCTTCAAACATATCTCCATCTTGTTGTGAGTGGTGCTTCACAAAAAGGGATCCTACTTGCCCACTTCCTTCAACAATGGATGATCCAACAATCTACACTTTCCAAAAACAAGGTTTGTGCGTTTAATCGTCAATAGATGATATGATTCTTGTTTTGTTCTATACTCCCTCTGTTCCATAAAGCTCGCTCATGTTTGACTTACACATAATATAATACTACTTAAAGTAAAAACAATGTGATTGAGATTTGTGTAGAGGAGAGAAAAATTACTTTAACCACATATTTATTACTTTATATGGAAATGACAAAGTTTCTTGGGACTGCTAAAAATGAAACTTGGCACTGTTTTGTGGATGGAGGGAGTATAATAAATTACAATCAGCATTCCTTACCTTCTCTAATTCCTCAAAGAGAAGGGTATTTTCTCTCAGGAACTGTAAAGCCTTGTCTCTGCCCTGTCCCAACCTATGGTCACCATAACTATACCATGAACCCTTCTTGGTCACTATTTCCATCGCATCTGCACAGTCCAGTATGCATCCCTATACAATGAGTCAAATCTAAAGTTAGAGAGGAGTGGGCAATTAAAATATTTAATATATATTCTTTATAAGGATAATTGTAGTTTCAGAGACCAGCTTGTTCACTCCCTCTCCAAAAGTAATTTCAAACTCTGCTTGCTTGTATGGCCTTGATACCTGGAGAACAACAGCGAACTCTCAGCATTGCTAATAAGATATACGGAGTAGTATACTGAGAGAATTCCAAATCACAAAGCATAGCTATAATTGTGGAGAGGAGGATGGAATTGCATGTCACAACAATATTACATGCCTGTCATTTATCTTTAAAAAAAGGTCTAAGAATGTCCTCAGTGCAAGTGGAAGAAAATTATGTGATTATGGTGGTTTTGGAATTTCATATTTTGTAAAAATGGTGCAACATGAATTCCAACAATTTTTTTAATGAATCATATTGTTAAACTGTTAACTAGTTTTAAAAAATTATTATTGTGATGCCATAAATTTCATGTCAACGACTCAAACATAATTCAGATTAGAGAGATGATGGTTTGGGGTGGAAGGAGTTCTTAAGATGGTCACATGCTCGAGTCTGCTCAGTCTCAATGGTACATGCGCACACAGAAATTAATGAGCAATATGTATTTGATAAGCAGGCCATAAATGAAATTAACATCAAGAGCTCTAAATAAGAATCAAGGACTCAAGGTACTTGCCTTACTCTTTTGAACTCTTACACGCACCCTTAATCCAACTTCTTCATCTCCTTTGGCCTTTGGCCACAAGATGTACAAAACAAGAAAAGTTTAGCATAATTTGGAACAAGTATAGAAGGATGGAGGTATTCATCAAAGGGGATGATGATGATGTGCTTACAGACTTTATCTTGCCAATAGGACGGATTTCAAGTCGAACTGAAGCAAAAAACTTTAGCGCAATTCCTCCACTAGTGACTTCTGGGTTTCCATAGTATACCCCTATCTGGTGAAACCAAAAAAATAGTATTGTTGTTATATTAAAGAAGGAATTTGGCATCATCCATTTCAGCCAATTAAGTGAAAGGCTTATAAATGAATGGAGCCTTAGGACATGTTTACTAAATTGTTAATAGCGCTGTTAGGTTATGGGAAAATCACTATTAACCCCCTGAGGTTATGCCATAATTATTAATACAACCTTGCATTTTCAAAAATCAATTACTTACCGCCTGAGATTTTATCATTCTCACTGTTTGGCCCCTCACATTAATATTTGTTAAATTTCATATAACTCTTAAATTTAATGAAAGTTGTCTATAAAATTATAAAAATTAAAGTAAAATAAAGTTTATTATCATACTTATATGTCATTGTTGTTGATCGTTGTTTTTCTATTTAGCTGCTCGATCATGGAATAAATATTAATGAGTGTAGTTAAGAGAGAAGACACACAAGTGAGTTATAAAATATCACAAGAGTTTATATTTTAATTTAAAAAAATAAAGATCATTTTATCTTATTAAACTAATAAACTTTTTGTGAAGAAAAAATCATAAAAAAATTTACTAATAGAATTAAAGAGAAAAGTTAATAAATCAAAATCTATGATATATATTTTAGCCTTTTAGGTCATACATAGATTGATAGTTTTCAATTATTCAAATCATATATCGAACAATCTATCTTTTAGGTCCGTTATTAATACTAGACGAAACTTTTAGGTCATGTATTGATAAATTTCCTTTTTCTTGGTATATTTTCTTTGCTACACATGAAAGAAATGTCTTTGAGGTTTACTTAGCCGGATGAATTACAAATAAGACTCTTATATTCATGATGAAGAGGTGTTTCAAATTTTGATAACACATATTTCAAAAAACTTTTTTTGATGCATGTCATGAATATTACTCAACTCATGAGTCTTCTGCCTTAACTACTTTCATTAATATTTATTTCACAATCGAGTAACTAAGTACATAAATAACAATCAAGAAAAATGACTTATAATTATGATAATAAATTGAGTTTTTTTACTTTAAAGTTTAATTTTACGGACAAATTTTATTGAATTTAAGAGTTAAATTAAATTAAATTTAACAAATATTAACATGAAGGGGCATATAGTGAGAATGATCAAAACTGAGGGGGTAACTAATTGATTTTTGAAAACGCAAAGTTGCATTAATAATTATGACATAACCTTAGGGGGTTAATAGTAATTTTCCCTTAGGCTATTAATGCGAGTGAAGTAAGCAGGTATTGGGACTTAAATGTGTGCTTAATAAACATCTTCTGTCCTTAAAGCGCCGCTTATTAAAAACGAGCCTCACCCATGTTTTAGTTAAGCAGCAATTTATGCTTTTTCCATGTGACAAGCATACCCTCCCATCAACAACAGAAAGAACACATTTTAATTCTTGTTCATATCCCACCATTGCCAATCTCGACCTCTCTCAATCCTAAACGGCTAGATTCTATGCCATTAATGCCGACACACAATAATGCATGTCTCAATTAGTATCCTAGGAATGAACTTCTTATGGTATGTGAAGTTGTATTTTGAAGTTTTGTTTTTTCGATTTTTAATAAATTGGAATAAACTAGGGAAGTAGAACAAAAATGTTTGGGAAAAATACTTTAAATACCCCAAATATTAAAGAAGTGTGAAGTAAGTACCCCAAACTTGTATATGTAATATAAATACTCCAAACTTTATATAAAAGTTATTTTAGCATCATCACCTGATAGAGATATGAATAGAGATAATAATAATAACAATAATAATAAGTACTATGGCAGAGTCTATTCTAGAAGAGGAAAGAATAACAGTTAGTAGTTAGTTAGTTAGTTGAGCTGGCTATTTCTGTTATTAGTTGAGATTTGAGAAAGAATAAATAGATGGTTGGGAGGATAGTTGAAGGTAGGCTATTAGTCAGTTGTTTTGGGCTGGGAGAACTGAGATTCCGTATCTCTCTTCTAGTTGTTTTGGGCTGGGAGAACTGAGATTCCGTATCTCTCTTCTTGTTGGGAACTCTCTGCAAACCTTCTCCCATAAATGAAAGCTTGAAGTGTTTCTTGAATGCTATCTTCTTCTCTTTGAATTCAATATCAACCTGCGAGAGTTCTATCAGTGGTATCAGAGCACATTGATCACTGCGGATGGTCTTGACTCGTGTGAAGATGGATTTACGAATGAACGAGCTGGAGAAATATCAGCAACAAACAGCGGAGATAATGGCAGCGATGCAGACGACACTCGCGACCTTGGTTAATAGAGACCAGAATCGATCACAGAGCAGATCGCGTGCATCACACACATCGCATCGCACTCGCATCAGACATACGTGAAATTCAGCTAGCCCGGAAGGATCGGAAGGTAATTCTGACAACTCACCTTCACATCATAACCGTAATCACCACAGGGAACATAGAAAATACAATCGAACTGGTAGAAAGATAGATTTACCTTCGTTCAATGGTGCTGATGCGTATGGCTGGTTAGTTAGAATTGATCGATACTTCAGACTTAACAACGTAAATGAAGAAGAGAAAATTGAAGTAGCTGTAGTAGCCATGGAAAATCGAGCACTGAGTTGGTTTCAGTGGTGGGAAAATCAAGCGCGAGAGAAGAATTGGGAGGCATTGAAAGAAGCTCTGACTCGTTGCTTCCAACCTGATTTGGTACAAAATGCTTTAGGTCCTTTGTTAAGTTTGAAACAGAAAGGAACTGTGAGAGAATTCAGGGAACAGTTTGAGGTAGCCATTGCTCCTCAAGGTAATCTGGACAGAGAAGCATTGAGAGGCATATGGATTAAAAGGGAATATAAGAGCTGGATTGAAACTTTACAATGCCAGAAATCTGACAGGAATCATGGATAAAGCCCTGTTAATAGAAGAAAAGAATAATGAAATCCTGTCCAGGAAGAATAAAGAAGGAAAAAGAAATTGGCAGGGTAAAATGGCAGGAGGAAACATTTAACAGAAGTGGAGAGAAGGAAGTAGGTGGAAAAGCAGCAATGCCAAGTCTGCCAATTCAGGGAGGAACATAGCTGATAACAAGAACACAGAAAATGTGGCAATAAACAACCAGAAGAAGATAGGTCCCAGGCTAACTCAAGGAGAACTTCAAGAAAGGAGTAGAAGGGGACTATGCTTCAAATGTGGAGAAAACTGGAACAGAGGGCATGTTTGTAAAATGAAGAACTTCAAGATGGTCTTAGTGGAACAATCTGAAGGGGATGAAGATTTAGATGCCATTTTCAGTGACTCTGAAGAGGAAACAGGAGGGGAGGAAGATTTAGATGCCATTTTCAAATGGTTTCAGTGACTATGGAGTCAAAAGCTATGCAACTATCTGTGTTGAGTAGAGAAAAAATATCCACTATGAAAACCAGGGTTGTCACGGCGTCGCCTAGGCGTCGCCTAGTCGGCGACTAGGCGTCCAGGCGCTGGGGGAAGCTCGCCGGCTTCACTCGCCTCGCCAGAAGAAAACCAGGCGTGTTTGGCGTCGCCAAGTCGTCGCCAAGTCGCTGTGTTGGCGATGGATTCCACGCCTATTTTGCAAGTCGCCGAAACTGGGCCAGAAGTCCAGAGCTCCCGAACCCAGATAAAAAGAAATTTAGATTTAGGCCTTAATTATTTTAAGAAGCTAATTTATTTCCTTTTTAGGAAGCTAATTTAATTAAGGCTTCAGATTTTAATTAAAAGCTAAGCCCATGGTATTATACGGTTCTACCTTACGGATGCCTAATCGCCCCAAATAGCATCGCAGATTCGCAGGAAGCAGAGTAGCAGACGAAGAAGATAAAGTCGCACTGTGCTAGTGTCGCCCTCCCTTAGTGCTTCGCGGAAGCAGAGTAACACTATAGCAGATGACTTTCTTATTCTCAGGCCCCCGATCTCTTTTGCTTAAGTTTTTTTATTATTTTAAATTTTAGGTTGTGCATTTATAATTTTGTTGTTTTGACTTTTGACCTTGTTTTTTATGTTATAACATGTGATACTTTATTTTAAAATAAGAGTTCTATGATATACTTCATTGTTATATACGTAGTATATTTTTAAAATACATAACTTATCCCATTAATAAACTTGTTATTAATTATTAATTGTGGACTTCAATTCTAAGTTATATACATTTTAGTTAGTAATATATTACACATAATATATAATTAAATATATAATTATATATGTAAATATATAATTATATATAATATATGATATAATATACACATATAAGCGACTAGTCGCCTAATTGTCGCCTAGGCGGGCGCCTTGTCGCCTAGGCGATATGGCGGTCAGCTGGCGCCGCGACTCGACTTACCGCCGTGACAAGCATGATGAAAACATTCATAGTGAGTGGAATTCTGAAATGGCCAACAGGAGAACAACAAGTTAATGTACTCATTGATAGAGGAGCTACCCATAATTTCATAGCCCAGGAATTGGTGAATAAATGGAAAATCCCTTTTACCACTATTAAAGGATATAAGGTTCAAATTGGGAATGGAGAATATATCCCTAACAGTGGTAGATGTGTAGGAATGAAATTGAGGATAGTAGGATACAAGGAACTGACAGCAGACCTTTTACATCCTGGAGTTAGTGGGGACTGATATTGTGCTTGGGATGGAGTGGTTAACTGGGTTAGGGGATGTGGAGGTTAACTTCCAACTATTAAATGGAGATTGCAGGGACAGAAATACAATATAGAAAAAGATGCTTCTTTGAATAATCTGGAAGTTTCTCTGAAGACAATGACACAAATTTTGCAACAAGCTGGAGATGGATACTTGTACTGTGAAGGGCAAGGTTCTGACCAAATCCAGGATAAGGAACAGGATGAGGTTTGGGAAGAAATTGTTCCAGAATTTCCAGAAGTCTCCAGGATGAGGAACGGGATCCACCTCATATAAGGTCTTGTGATCATGCCATTAATATCATGGAAGGAGCAAGCATTCCTAATATTAGGCCCTACAGGTATCCTTATTATCAAAAGAATGGAATTGAGAAAATAATAAAAGAAATGCTCAGTTCAGGAATAATACAACACAGTAACAGCCCCTATAGCAGTGGATTGCCACGTAAGTAGATGAACGGTTAACCAGGAACCAACCTACTAAATTCGGAATTTGATTACTTTTGTATAGTTTACAGACTTAATTAGGTGTTTCTTTAGTTGGAGGGTCTAATTGACTTTTTTGGTATACTTTGAGGGCCGATTTGACAGTTATCCCTATATTCAATAAACACTACTTATTAAGAAGTGTCTAACTAACATGGGGTTTAATAAGAACAATTTATTAACCCACAAAGTTAACATGACCTTAGAGTCTTTGTAACAGAAAATGCCCAAAAAGCATAGGACACACACAGCCATCATTGTTGTGCCTTATAATATAATGGTACCTTATACCGTATTTGGTTAAGAAAAATGAGTGTACATCCGGCCTTGGAAGCATTTCCTGACATCTTACGCAAAGCTTGGCTCATGAGCCGTGCTTGCAACCCCATTTGCTGCATACCTATCTCCCCCTGCAAATGTTAGGAATGTAGAAAAATGTTAGGGTGGGACGCTAAAGAAAATTCTTTTATGTTTCGGTGTACCTCAGAAAAGCCCAAGGATGAAAATGAAATTTGATAAGGCATATTAACAACATTTCTTAAATCTTTATATGATCGGTAATATATACACACATATCAAGTTTGAATCCTTTTTCCCACGTAACTTTCATTGCTTCCAGTTTTTCCTTCTATTTTGCTCTGTTTTTTTTTTATCTGGCATTTTTTCCCAGGTTCCGAACAGGTGAACCTAGGAAAGTGTTAATTGCGATGTAAAAAAGAAAAGGGCAATGTAACATACTTCAATCTCAGCACGTGGAGTGAGAGCTGAGACAGAATCTATGCATATGAGATCAACAGCACCTGATCTACACATGCGGTCTGCAACTGAGACAATAATAGCAAATGTAATTACATTAAACATGACCACTACTACTACACTACTGCCGAAAGCCTGGGGGAGAAGGATACTTTCAAGAGCCATCTCTCCATTGTCGGGTTGGCAGACAATTAAATTCTCAACATCTACTCCCAGAGCTTTGGAGTATGCTGGATCAAATGCATGCTCAGCATCAACAAGCATTGCATTTCCTCCTAGCTTCTGCATAATGAGAGCATTATCTTAATATAATTGTTTATGTTCACCTTTTAGTATCCTCGTCCATTCTTTCCTGTTTGTTTTTAAATAGGTTCCCCCAAACAAATCCCCTCCATATTAGTTATTTAACACACATCATCATTTCCCCAGACCTCCACCATGGAGAGGTACACACACTGTGTATGGGGAGACACTCCACCATTCAGGAAAAATAACGCTAGTAGGTGTGCCTTTTGCTGCACGTCAACGGTCAGTCATCCATATAGATATTGAGGTGATTTTACAATTTTATCCTCACGGTAAAGTTACATGGTCCTTTCCATCATTTGCAATGGAGCCAAAGATTCATTATTTTTTTGCTTGAGAATATAATGGAATAAAGCAAAATGGCTCACTAAACTGTCTGTGCTTCTTTATTATGAAGCAGCAGTCAGTCCATGCAATTTTGGACGCGATTTTCACTATGGGTCATCCGGAAACAGTCTCTATGTGCTTTAGTACATGGGTAAGATTGCGTACATACGACCCCCCTACCCCACCGTAGGTGGGAGCCTTTGCGGCACTGGGGTAAATGAAAACGAAAACGAAACGGGTAAAGTTACATGGTCCATCAAGTGAAAATATAAAAAAAAATAGTGAAATTACACACAAATGTCATCCACTAAAATGTACACCTATGCTCTAACCTCATGCTTCAGAGTAACTGACTAACTTCTATACAGAATATAAAAAATTAAATACATACTGGACCTGCACTTCTGCAATAGCATGGAGAGCTAAGGTGGTCTTCCCACTGCTTTCTGGCCCATATATCTGAAAAACAATAATAACAAAACATAAGGCATCATTGACATGTCTGCTATTTTCATGCAACACATCATCAGGGTTTTAAATTGCAGACCGCAACCGCAATTGTGTTCGCAATATTGCCGTTGCCGGCCGCACTGCAGCCACAACGGACCGCAATTGTGGTGAGATATGAAATCGCATTAAAAACTGCAATGCAACTACAACGAAAGCGCAACACATCGGGCCGCAACACAGTGACACAGTCCAAATGTAATTTTTAGCTGTTATGTTTATTTTTAAATATATCATACTTCATGTTTTTAGCTGATTTTGAATTTATTTACTTTAGTGTGAAACATAGAATATATCCTGAACTTGTTTACTTAAAAACGAATTTAAAATAGAAGTTATACTCCTCTTGCAAAAAATCATTTTATTTCTATCTTGTTTGAAATAACATTTATTTCACACTGCATTGGCCGCAATGCGACCACAATAACTACAAATGCAGTGACCACGACCGCAATTTAAAACCCTGCATCATACTGCATTTGGCTCAAAGTTTAAAATTCAGTTAACTGCTTTGATTCCCATATAAGAACTGAATAAGGGGAATAAAGCATATTATAGTCCTATTTGTGAACTTGGTCCGTGTTTTACTTCTATTACGGGCAATCGTTTTATATATATACCGAGTACTTCATATTATGACAAGGCCACGATCAGAGCACTACTCTGTTTAAGCTTCATCGGCGCATTGTAATGTTCAAACACAAAGAACAATAAAATACTACAACATACTAATGTCAGCTTCATGCTCACAAGCCCTAATGTGCCCTTTTGATCCTACCATTATGTTGAAGTGTTTAACTATTGAAGATTTGAAGGTATACAAGTAATTTCAAATGTTAGTTCAATAAACATAGCTTAGGTTCTGGCAATTATGTTCACTGGAAGAACGTTAAGAAACTATTTTTAAGATGCGTGAGCAAGCATTCATCCAAGGAATTGAAATTTTAAAGGAAACCACAGATTGAAAGACAGACCTCAACAATTCTCCCTTTGGGGAGGCCACCCCCTAAAGCTAAGTCCAATGTCAGAATGCCACTCGGAAAAGTTTCTCTGTGGGCAGAAAAATACAGAAAATAGATTTAGAAGAAAAAAAAGGTGCAATCTACATATGCAGGAAACGGAATTATTTGAAGGATAGGATACCAAAGGTAGGGAGCACGTAAATATGAATATATAGAGGTATATTTATAAATATCGTTTTCAAATATATGCACTTTTTCATTTAAGTTTTGTTGTATAAGGAACGACAAAAATAGTCTATTAGTCTATGTGTCCAAATATAGAGATTGGTCACATGTGCAAACGTAAAATGCAAAACACTTGTAGCAATGCATACACTTGTTAAGTGTCATAAAGAAAATACTGATTTCCACAAGAAATCACATCAATAAATAAAAAGAAAAGACCCAATATTTCTAAAATGCTAATCAATGAGTGAAACAGGGTTCTCAAAATATGATTTATAATGGAAATGGCACAAAAAAGGAACTAATGTTTATGAGTTCCATACGCTTTCGAGTTTCTGAAACTGCGAAATGTGAGGTACACAAAGTTTGAGTGCTTCATGGGGGGCAATTACAATCGTGTAACCTTGGGAAAGTGTGATAAACAGAATGTACAATCTAAGGGTTTCCCATGTTATCATTATCATATAACAATTTCAATATTTATTTGAAGTGTATTCAATTGGAGCAGGCATGGACTACATGCTAAACTGAAAAGAAAACGCATACACTAGAGCTCCACCAGCACTTCCCAATCGTGTAACACTTCCTTTGCCAAAGGAGCTATTTATATCACCCATCGCTGCTTCCAGTGCTTTTTGCTAAATCAGTTCTTGACACACAGAATAGTTAGCGAATGCAGAGAACACACAAAGCATGTGTGGCAGAAGAATACGAAAGTTGAAGGATTTTGGGGTTTGGAGAACAATAAAACGACCAAACACGGTATGGCTGACAAAGAAAACAAACCCGGTCAACGAAACGAGACTCCGAATCGGAATGGAGAAATGCATTGACCTTAGCATCGAATTCCGAGCGAACCATAACACTTTGTTTGGCAGAGTACTTGGGTCGCGAAGTAGGAAATTTCAGAAGGCGCTGAACTGAACGTGGACAGCTCGGTGATGGCCAGTCAAAATGGATTCTGGAGGGAGAGTAATTATGGGTTTTTAGCTGTGAAACAAAACTCATTTTCTGAATGTATGAACAATTTGGCGGGTTATGGTTAGCTTAGCTTGTTGCAGACCAATCGCAGTGGAGAAGAAGGAAGACACCGCCAAACGTTCAGACTACTGGTATTTTCTAATGGGCCATCGCATTTTATACACTAGGCCCAATAAAATTGTAAACATTTCGTTCTGGACTTCGGCGTTCCTTTCTTTCTTCGCGCTCTGGCTGATACTGTTGGAGCAGCGTTGCGATCCTTCCTCCTCTCCGCTCTCGTCATCATCATCATCCCCTTCGTAAGGGGTCTCAACCGGCTCAGTTTCCGGATTGATAAGTCGAGTCCTCATAGGACCAGTAGGTTTCACTCTCGGTGTCCATGTGGCCTTCGCTCACGGTTCGTCATTGGCCTCCACTGCCTCTTCCTCTTGACACCATAGGGGACCCCCGGCTGCCGCGCTCGGACCCACCCAATGCACGGCCCCTCGGGGTCCTTCGAGTGATCCTCCCAACTTGTTCCATTTCCGAAGGAAATTTAGAATGAGTCACTAGACTCGTGTCAAATGTCAATTGACGGATAGGCACTTGAAGACACCCTTTGGCTCAAATCACTGTCATACCAATTGTTAAGGGTATCATCTTAACAATTAGAGATCTTGCAATTCAAGTACCAAAGTTCTTATAAGTACAAAACTTTTTATGTTCATGGTTTTCAAATTCTTTTTCAAAAGGAATTTTGAAGCTTCATTATGAAGTTTACAGACTAAGGCTCTGATACCAATTAAATTGTCACGCCCCGGACCTACCCGGACACGTCAAAAATCCGCCGTACAGTACGAATAGTCAACCGCAGTCCAACACATTCATACTATACAAGGCGTATGGGATATCATTCACACGTAGTACATCCATAAACAAACATAATGTAAAATATTCATTTAAAACAGCGGAAACATTCAATACGAGTATTCATGCCACACTTTGGCAAACATGGGCATACAAGCCCCCAAATAATTATTTAAAAAAATATACCCATGAGCATTAACATAATTGTTTTTAAAACAGAAATGGAGGAAGCACGAACCACGCCTTCTCTCCTTGATCTCCCCAAAGCAAATGGGCGATAGTAGCAACCTTCAAGTTCTACCTGAAACTGTGAGGTGGCCTCCCCCGTGAAGGGGAGGTCAGTACTTGGAAGCATTTGACAAGTACAATTACAACTATACTAAGTATAATCAAAGTTTCAATTTCCAAGACCCTCAATCTAGGATGTCATTATTTTATAGTTAACACGCGTTCCTTCATGCTAGAGCTTGGCTCATAGTCATACAAATTGGTGCTAGAGCTCGGCTCATAGTCATACAAATTGGTGCTAGAGCTCGGCTCATAGTCACACTACACTTTGCTAGAGCTCGGCTCATAGTCATACTACCTTTTGTTAGAGCTCGACTCATAGTCATACTACATTTTGCTAGAGCTCGGCTCATAGTCACACTACATTTTGCTTGAGTTCGGCTCATAGTCATACTACCATGTACTAGAGCTCGGCTCATAGTCACGTCATCTAATCCCTAAACAATTTCTTAGTCTAGGCCCCATCCATTTTGAGTAACCCTTAAGGCCTACTCCTAATGTAACTTGAGTTCATAAAGTCCACCTTAAAAATATATTCTAAGGTTACTTAGGGTGTACCCACCACAATTTAATATCTTGGGATTAGCTCCAAAGAACCAATGATCTAACATTTCCGACTAGTATTTCTATACTAGTTGTTTACTCTTAATATAACCAATACTAATTCATAATAGCTCGTATATTTCAATTTAATCCTACATTCAAGTATAATTTGGCTCTAATATCAAAATATCATTTTATCCATCCATGACTTCTTTACATGAGGTAAAAGTATATTTATCACAATGAAATTCATGGTTAATACAACCGTCATGCCATTGTATTCATAACACATAATCATACACAATTTATTCATAAATTTGTATATTATGCATTTATACTTATAAACAATATTAATTTCATTTAGGCATTTTTTTATCATAAAGAAACCATGCCAAACACATTTAATTTATGTAGGTAATCTTATAAAATTAACCCAATAATTATAAGCAATATAGTCAGTCATCCTCACCTCAAATGAGCTTTAAACCTTCCCTTCTTGATCCAATGGTCAAAAGCTTCGGTCAAGGTGGATTAAGAACTGATTTCTTGCTTAGAAATGAGTGTTAAACAGCCTCCCCAAAGTGCTATCTCAACCTCTAATCGTTGATAGGAAAACAGCCCCTAGAATGGGTGTTTTCCGGCGACTCGTTTCCTAGTTTTTTTCCAAGGTTTGTTCTAGGTTAGTATATAACCTTTACGTCAATAAAACAACTTCATAAGGACATATTATACACTTGAAATAGTGTAAAATAGTTCCGCCAATCGTTCATGTCACTTGGAAAACGAAAGAAAGAGTTTGAGATCAAAACTCACTTTAGAGGAGCAAATCCGTTTTCTGCGAGGTTGTGTTTTCTTCCAAGGATATGGAAGCCTTACACTACTCCGATTGATGCAAACCAGACCTTGATGGATTCCTCTTCTTGATAGCTTTCTTTGGGCACCTCATACGACTTATTTGGTTGAGTATTTCACGAGATATGAAGCAAACAAGTAACCTTACGCACTGGAGTTTCACCCTGCGGACAGCTTGCCCTTTCCTTTGTTTTCTTGGTTGTGTGGCTCTCTCCTTCTCTCTTATCTCTGGGAGTTCTAATGGGGGGTTGTGGGAGTGTTATCTTGTCCCTCACTTAGCCTCCAAAGTCAATGGGTAAGGGTGGGTTGGCATGTGGGATGATGGAGCAAGATATCTTCCAATCAAAATGGGGAGAGGGTCCATTCTTTGTACTTAGATGCCAAAAGCATCTCTTCCACCCTCTTTCCTTTGTCAACCCATCCCTTGTCTAATTCAAAACACAAAAACGTGGGGTGGCCCCCACTCATGTGGTAGGTCATCCCTTTGTGTCTCAAAGTGTACATTTGGCCCCGAAAGTTGTATTTTTCGGACTGTTTTAAATATATTTTATTCTATCGGGTCAAATGAAATATATTACGCATTATCAATCAATATGGCCCTTATAATGAATATATATTCCCCAACTTTAATTTATAAGCCCCCGAAATTCATTTCGGGCTGTTATCTGTGAAATTACCAAAACCGGTAATTGAGCCACTTTTGACCAATCGGTCCACATTATGTCTTTTCTTTGGCCCAAATAAATTATCTCGGCCAAGATGAATAAAATTTATGGTCTCGGGAATATCAGGCGGTCCCTGCTCCCGGGTGTGAACCCCACGTGCAAATTTACTATTCACGCAAAAACATTAATAAAAATTCACATCTTCGTAACTTCATTAACTATTCCATAAGGTTCAATACTTTATTCACTTAAAAGTAAATAAATTTGGGGACGATGTTACACGTCTTTTGTCTCACTGAATGGAGGATTCTCGTGTGCCGATAAATGAAAGTAGTCACACATCTTGCTTTTTCAATGTGGGGCTTGAATTCGGCTAATTTACCGATATCCTCCAACATCAAATCCAAACAATGTGCAGCGCATGGAGTCCAATAATGTGTGGGTATCTTGAGCTCTAGAAGTTTTCCCGCAGCCTTATAGTTAGAGCCGCTGTCTGTCACCACTTGCACTACCTTGTCTTTTCCAACTTCTTCGATTTTTTTCTCAAGCAAACCTGCCAGCAATGTTGCATCTTGAGATTCACCTGATGCATCAACCGAGTCTAGGAAAAAAGTACCTTCTGGACTATTGACAATGAAATTAATCAAGTGTCGATTCCTTCGGTCAGACCATCCATCAGACATGAGTGTGCACCCGTATTCCTTCCAAGCAAGTTCATGTTTTTCTCTGAGCTTCTTTGTATTTTTCTTTGCTTTTTCAAGAAGTGGTACCCGCAACTCATGATAGCTAGGAGGTTTAAGTCATAGTCCAAACTACCCAATGGACTCTACCATGATCTCATAACTTCTGGAGTTTGCTGCATTAAAAGGAATGCCGTTTTCATAAAAAAAAATCAGAAATGTGCCCGAAGACCCTCTCTTTCTCCTCCTTGCTTTTTGTGCATTGTTCTAGTGTAGTTTGGGTGGGGCCTTTCATATGTCTTTCTCAACAACCTTCTCAAGAGTTTTGCGAATGATGGAGGCAATTGACTTGGTTTGTTTGGGCATTTTTGGTGGAACATTAAAGAATTGTGAAGCAGCATTTTTTCTCTTGGTTGCTGTCCCAGAACTCGGTTGAGGAGTTGAAGTATCTACTTGAGCCAAAGGTACTTCAACATCATCCTCATCACCGGCATCGCCATCATCTTCAATATGGATTGGTTTACTCCTAGATTTCTTCATTAAATATTCTCGCATCTCCCTCATAAGTTCTGTTGTCGTATGAGGACATTTAGCAACATCTCCATACCCGCCATCTAAATGTTGTTTTAATCTCTTTATGCCAGAACGCATTTGCTTATTGCAGTGCTAACATTGGACTATGTCTTTGTTGTTCAAGTCTGGCCAAAATCCGTGCTTCCATCCTGGGTCATTAGATTTTGCTCTTCTAGCAGGATCTTTAGATGGATCATACACGGTTTCACCTTCATGGTCCGCGTCCGCCATAACTATTGTCTATAAAAAATAGTTTAATATTATTATTTATACTACATAAAAGTGATAAATTAGCATCCAACCAACTAATAAAAAACTAATCAAAACAGAAAGTTGAACTAAAAAATCACCATCCAACCAAATGATAAAAGATTAATCAAAACAGAAAGTTAAACTAAAAAAACAGCATCCAACCAATTGATAAAAAAAATAATTAAAACAGAAAGTTGAATTAAAGTTGAATTAAAACAGAAAGTTGGTTAGCATCTAACCAACTGATAAAAAGATAATCAAAACAGAAAGTTAAAATATGTATATTACATATTTGTATACATAATTATATATAAAACAACTTTTAGTAATAGTTTAATAGTTTATGATTTTATAACATATACTCCGTAATAATTAATGGTTTAATAGTTTTTTATTAAACTAATACGTAGTATC